TCCATGAGGGGCTTGGGTTTTAAGTTTACTGAGATAATCTTTTCAATGATAGTTAGAATAGATGATAGCTTTTTTTTCATTTCTCTTTTTCAAAAAAATTTTTTTTTACTCCTTTTTCTCCTTGCGTAGTTTCTACAAGAGGGGGTGACACAATTTGGATTTATGGTCGTGACTGTGGAGATGATCTGCAGATACTGATCTTATCGGAAATTTGGGATCTTAATCCCATCCTTTAGGGGAACAATATATTACTTCCATAAATTGCATCTAGAGGCTTTGGCTAAAGACAAGTGAGTTGGGTCAGGGAAATTTGTACTTTGCATGTATTCTCGTGCATGTAATGGTTCTTTATAATTTAATAAATAAATGACACCAATCTGATTGTGGGATTAAAAAAAAAAAATAAATAAATATATTAATATATAAAATAAAAAAAAAATGTTTTTATAAAAACTTACTTTAGATTTAAAAGAATAATTAATCATATTGTCTAATGGTTGGAGTTTGCTTGTTAAACCATCAGGAATTATTGCAATATTTGTTTTATTTTCTTCGAAGTTTTTTTAACAGAATCGACAAAATGACCTCTAAAAGAATACAATATTAAAAGTGAATGCTTATATTTTAATTTGTTTTGATTAAGTTATATATTATTAATCCACCAATTTATTTCTTCTTCATTACATCATCCTTTTTCATTTACTCGAATATAAATATCTTGAGGAAAATTTTGTCATAACTTATTTTTTAACTTAAATATATAAGTTGCAAGTAGTTTTGTTTCATCTGCTAAACAACTTAAAATTACTGTAAAGCTTGTTTTTTCATGTCTGATTGTTTTAATACTAACTGTTTTTGTATCATGTTCATCTAAGGTTATAGAACTTGGTAAATCGAAAGTATCTGAAGTTTCATTCATATTTCCAATTAATTGTAATGGATAGTTATGTTTATGTCTTTGATAAAGAACATAACTTAAAAATAATTGTTGTTTTTCAATTAGATCTTCTGAAAGATATTGAACTATATTTGTTCTATATCTATTAGCAAAATTATGGCAAAACATAAATGCATCAACCCATTTGTTAGAAAAACCAAAGATGTTGATTTCTGAATATAATTATTGAAATTTCGATTGTTGTGCAAGACTTTTTGCTTTTCGTATAACTATAATTTGTGTTATTGCTCTACCTTTACTTTTATTTTCACATATCCAAGTTGTCAAGTCAGTTTCAAGTTCAGAAAATTTCATTTTTCTTTCAGAATGTAACTTTTGGATATGAGGTGCAACAGTCATTAATTTGGTTTTATTTTTTTTCCATTTGTGTTGAATATTAATGTAAAAGTCTTAAAGAAATTGTTAGTGATTTCAAAAGACAATGAACTTTAGTGTTAATTTAAAACACCAACAGAAGTTGGGACTTTATTAAAGTCGAAAGAGCATCCTTTTATACATGTTGGCTTCATACAACGTAAAAATACATAAATAATAAATAATAAAAATACATATATCTATATTCGGCTTAACCTCCAGAGACATATGTACTTAATTAACATAAAGAAATATAAAAGGAAATAATAATAAAATAATAAAGGAAAAGAATAACAGATATGCACACTCTATGGCCTTGTGCTCCTAATTTAGTAATGTTTACCTATAGTAATTAATTAGTGGCATCTTGGCGGTATGGCACATTGTTAGGGGTCAGAATCGTATCATACATGCGTTTGACAAATGTCTGGGAACATGTCTCAGACTTGCAGGTCGTTAGGGGCAGATCAGATACCTTTCGAGGCATTCAGGTCGTTAGGCGTAGTATGGGTCCCATGGCGCAGTCACAGGTCAAGATTGTTACAATTAAGCTTTTTTGCAGTACCACATATACTTTTTCATTGTTCAAAATAATAGATGGCTATAAGTTTTTCTCATGCAGACCATTTGCAATGAATTTGTTATATAAAATATATATAACGAGCTGATAGATTTGTATGCACCATATATGATAAGAAATATAAAGAAAATATAAATTATCAAAAATACAATATATTTTTTTTTCAACTCATTTGCTTATTATAACATGTTTTTATTAAGATTGCATTACAATCATTATTAATATTAAAGGTAAAAAATTACAAATTATTTATTATAAAAACTGATTCTACATAGTTATAAGATTATATTATTATTAAAATTTTATTGCAAGATGTTTATTATAAAGATTGCATTTAATGAAATATATAATACAAAGAATTTCATCATAAAAATAAATACCTTAAATGATTAAATGTTATTAAAAATTATATATCAAAACATTTATTATAATGATTGTACTTTGGTTTTTTTATTAATGATCAATATGCATATATTAACTATTTATAGATATAATACTTGAATATTTTATATGGTTATATAGCATCTGGACCATAGTAACCCTCTAATAAAATACCCTTCAAATACATATAAAGTATAAAAGATCCTGGATATTTAGTCAGTACTATACGGTAGTTTAGTTTATACAGTATATAAAAGTTTTGTACTAATATGTTTTCAACTTCAATAATTAAATAAATACAATAAATATTTGTTTAATTATGGAAAAAATATATATATCAAAATAATATATTAAAATAATATTTGATTTCAAACAATTGTTTTATAATTAAACAATAATAATATTCAATATACTGCATGATGTTTTTTTATTTTAAAATATATATAGTAAGTATATTTATATTTAATACGTAAATAAAAAATCAAATTAGATTAATTAAAAAATTTATTATAATATCACGAGCCTTACATGCTTGTGTAACAGATCAGCATCACAGATGTGAGAAACAGATATGTACAGTATATTAAATATTTATATGAGTAATAAATACTCTCTAGATAGGTAATATCATTTAATAATTTTTTTGTCTTGAGAAACTTGGAGAAAACATGAACTTTATTATATTCAATGCTAATCAAAATCTTGAAAAATAACATGCCAAGTCGCACCTTCACGCTTTGTACACTTGTGGTTAATAATCGACAAGTGGGTACCTGCCAGAAATGCTTCGAGACCAAAGACGCCAGCTGGTGTTGGGTGCTAGAAGACAATCAACGATAGCCAAAGCTATTATGATGGTTCGACCCACTCGCTACGGAAAGATTCGATAATCAGTAATCGTTACACCGTACCACCGGTTTCATATTCCGCAGTAATAATCACCAATATATAAAAAAGTTAAATTTGAATCTCTTTGACTTCTCAAAGATGGTTTCCTTGAATTATGAAAAGCGTTCTACATCTAGACAATCTGTTAAGAAACTTCCCAGTCGTTCGCTTAGGCGCATATTATTCTTGTTTTTCTTGACGGTACTGTCCGTCTGGTCTATTTGGTTCTTCCTACCAACGTTGCATTCTTCAATAGAGGAGAAGTATGTTATATGGGTGAAACACCCACAACATTCCGATCCTGTCAAAGTTCGCGTACCATATAATTCCGACATTGCAGACGTCAAGAAAATGGTGAAATCAGAATTACAACCTGCTCTTGATAAAGAGAGTCTTGGTAATGTAGTAATTCTGAGCCCAAAACTTGGTCGACTGAACCCCCGCACGTTGGTTCGAAAAGTGAATTTGGATAAGAGTGAGCATTTGATAGTTTTTGTGGATAATGTTGGTAAGAAAGAACACGCCACACTTGAATTACTTTCCCCCTTCGCACGACCTTTGGTGACAAACACGCAAAAAACAAACGTCTATCATCAGATTCTCGGTTATTTTTGAAAACGCTCACTTCCGACCAACTTCCACTGCAAGTCAATGCACCGTTGTGTCTCAAAAGTGACGAGGCATATATGGTCATAGCAAAAGTCCTCATGGGACAATATTCACAGAAAGACATCATTGCGTTGAAAAATAACCTGTGTGATTCAAGTGTCGAAAGCTGGAGTTCTAGATATTCGTATACCGGGCGGTAAGTATAGATTTGCGTGTTTTTTTTACTTTCTGTTTATAGTGTTGATACAAAACGAGATAAGGTAAATAGGGAGGTCAAATGACATATTACAAAGAGATGCCTGCATCAATGGCTGTAAGAAATATGTTCAGACATGACTTTCCATAACCCACCTTTAGGGCAAAGTTTTATTGAATCATCGTGCTATCAACCGTAAAAGATTTCAAGTTTTGTTTTTTTTTTTTTTTGAAGATAATTCGGCATTCTTAGCTGTTTGTTAAATTTTAATTTCTGTCCGAGCTAATTAATATTCATGAATACACAATAAAGATCACAATATTCTTTATTATTCAAAGGAGTTTTCAATGATGAAATTCATAGATTGATGTTCATTCATTCAAGATGCATCATTATTTATGTTTGATCATAAGTTCCATGAATTGATTATAATTCATCTTCGCCCAACCGTCACCATTTTCATCCAAGGTGCGAAATACATCTGTCAAATCTTTTACGGTAACACATATCTGTATGAAATTATCAAAATTCACCGAAAGTTTTTCTTCATTGATGACCTTTTTTTCACCCGAGGAATATTTAATTTTGTACTTTTTAACAAATTTCGTTAAAATCTTCTCACTAATGTTAAAGCCAAAATTTCTCATTGCCAACGTCAACTCATTTATACTGATGTCTCCACTATTGTCCTGGTCAAACGCCGCATAAATCTTCTTCCAATCTTCGATATATCGCCATAGACCGACAAATTCTTGATAATGAATATAACCATTACGATCTTGGTCAAATAAATCGAACAACAGTTGAATAGTGTCTAAATTGAAAGGTGTCCAATCACCGTTCAACAGTACACGTTGTAATTCAGTGGTGGTAATTGTGCCAGAATTATTAACGTCAAGATGGGAAAAAAACAAACTCAATTTCTTGTCTGTAAATTCAGAGTTTTGCATTGCGTCAGCTTCGGTCAGCCTTATTTGTTTTAAGTGAGTTGAAGGTGGTGACGGTGTGAAAAAAAAACTTGACCTCTTATGCTGTTAAAGGTTTAATGCGAACGAAATTTCGATTTTCACGCGTTAATCTCTCATCACTCCCATTACACAACTACCAATTGAGTCATGCATGCAGGAATATTGGTAGCACGTGTTATTATTTATTTATTTATTTATTTTAAATTTATTTTTTTTTTAGGTAACCCTTTGATACCGGGGCAAGATAGTTATGGCTTTGAAAGTAACCATCGGACAACGTAGCATCAGCCTGATTCAAGAAACGTGATACAAATTTCTCATGATCTCTGTCTGTTTGCCAAATTATAGTATCTCACTCAAAAAATCGCGCAGACAATCGACGAGGAGTTGATGTCTCAAGCCGGCGGCTTCTCAATTGATCAGGTTGATGAGGAGATTTACCCAATTCCGCTTGCAAATCACGTTCGCATTAAAGTAATTTGGTCTCTACCTTAGCTTATGGAATTAGCTGGTCTCAGTGTCGCGCAAGCCGTTTCCAAGATATATGACAAGTCTAATTTCTCGCGTGTACTAATTTGTTGCGGTCCGGGTAATAATGGTGGTGATGGTATGCAAGGGACCCGTAAATGATGTTTCATTATATATTGCATCGCTTAACTTCCAATCGACTGCAGGTCTAGTCGCGGCGCGTCATCTTTTTCATTTTGGATACAAACCAAATATTTTTTATCCTAAGCGAACCAAGAAAGAGTTGTATCAGGTATATCACCTGCAGCAATTTATTTTAGTCTTGCTTACTTTCAGTTAAGCAAATCACCTTCCTACCGTAGAGATTGGTGACTCAATGTGAAAATCTCAAAATTCCATTCACCGATGATCTATCCGAACAACTCTTACAAAACGATTTGGTGCTGGACGCTATCTTTGGTAAGACCATGAACCGTGCTGATCGTTCCATCAATAAATCTTTGATCATTTTTTATTATTTTTCTTAACAAGGGTTCAGCTTTTCCGGGGAGGTAAAGGCACCCTTTGATCATGTTATTCAGGTAATCGTTCAACATGATCAAAACATTCCGTAGGGTCTCGTGCCCATCGCTTACCCATGTTTCATTGCTTTTCAACCATAGAAATTAAAGGAAACAAGATTACCGATAGCCTCAGGTTTGATCTATTGAACTATTGATAAATCAAATATTTCGAAATCAGACTCTAGTAACCTTAGCTCGTAATTATCAGTTGATATTCCATCTGCATGGGATGTCGAGAAAGGTAGGTGATCCAAGTGTCTATCGTGTTCTGTAAAGAGAAAATTCCGGAGACTTTTCTTTCTATTGATCAACTAAATTTCAGGAAACATTGGTAATCGTGGTTTCACCCCATCAATGCTCATCTCTCTTACAGCACCGAAGTTGTGTGCAAAACAATTTAATGGAACACACCTCCTCGGTGGTCGATTCGTTCCACCGTGAGTATAGTAATTTTATGATCCTCAGACCCTCCAGAATGATTGGTTACATCATGGTAATGTCACTTTGCTTTTATAGAGAGTTGGAGAGGAAATATGGGCTTAACATTCCACCTTATCCGGGAACAGAACAAGTAATTGATATTACTAATCTGTTAAAAGAAAAATTATAGGTGATATTTTCGTGGTAAACAGTTAAAGCTTGTGCGCAAGTTCATGTACATTAAAAATACAAAGCCACGAGTATGCAAATATAAAATTGTATAAATTATATTTATGAAGGAGATTTAAGCATGATGAATACAGAGAAAAAAATAAAATGAAGAATTTTGCAATTATTTAAATAACCGATTAATTGAAAAATTTTCTACTTGGAGAGTGACCGAAAAGCGTGACACGAATGTCGGGAAGCATCTATATAAAATATTTTAAGTAAACAGCAAGTAATAATAACACGAAAGGAAGACAGGTTTTCATTTACCTCCTCTTGCGTCAATTTCAGTCGCTCTTCAAGTGTATTATTAATCCTTATACGACCAAAGTGAGATGTCAAAATAACGCCACCAGCGCTAAAATTTCAAAATTGTGTGTTAGATGAAGTAGATGAAAAGAGAAAACATGATAGGGAAATCCATATTCTAATTGATACCTATCCTCCGGCAGAAAATTTTCTTTTTCAATGTCAATCTTGACAGGTAACTTGGTGGCTTCCGTGTAAACCTTACGTGCATCCTGAACAGCTTCATTTGCTAAACTCAGATCGGATTTCCTGACGATGGCCGTTACGTTTTCATCCATTAGTTGATAGAGGGCCTTCGTATGAAACATAGATATAAAGTAAGCAAACTGAAAGATTCTAGTTTAAAAATTCAACTGTATTTATTACCTGTAATATCAAGTCTCTCAACAAACCGCGGTATCGACCGGCGTCCTTTGGAATTTCTTTAAGTTGAACTCTGGCCTCGTTGAAAAGGTCATCAAGCAATTGCTGACGTGCATGAAGGACTTTGAGACGGGATTTATTGATATTGTTTGATTGAATGCTACGCACATTATTAGAGATTTACCAGGAGAGTTAAATGATATCAACGATCACTAATGAAGTTGTTTAGTTGACTGAAGCAATCACTTACATTTTCCTTTGAACTTCGGCTTGCTTGATCTTTCTTTGAAAGCTAGCCTCGATATTAATGGATTCTTGACGGACAAGTTTGGTCTATTGGGTAAAATGTTTTTTATTAATGAGAATTCGTATTCCTGTTCTTAATAGATGTTCCTTGAAGCACAAACTTTTTCGATGTTGAATTCTTCATCAGCCTATGTGCGAGAAAATAAATACATAAATGAATAGATAAAACAACGGGGTTCTTGTACAAAGATTTTATGGAAACGGAGACCACCATTGAGGTATAAGAATGAGCAGCACACCTTGACTTTGATTTCACGAGCTTTTTCCTGAGCCTCTTGATTGATGAAGGCAACCTAAATTCATTGTTTTTCCTTATTATTACGAGTCCCCATATAAAATAACAGCATTGTAACTATGAAAAAAAAGGCACGAAACCATCTTTTTCATTTCGTTGATAACTTCTTCATCGTTTAGTGCTCGTGAGGTCGACATTTTTACGTTCACAAGGAGAAAGTACGTTGCGCATCAGAATGTCCGATCTTATAGATACTTATTACGGATAATCAAATTGATCATAGATTTATATACGTCATTGAACATAAATATGTAGCACTTGTGGAGTAATGGTAGCAATGATAGCGAACATCAATTTTATTTTCGCGCCAACCCCGAGATTATAATTTTTAAATATTAGTACAATGCAAGGTGATAACGTAATACTGGTACACAGACGAATTAACATTATTAGAGAATTAACTACAAAAAAAAAGGTAAAAATTGATGTAATAACATGCCCTTCTTCTGCCCCTTAAAATATTCATTGTAGATGCGAAGCATCGGTAGACAACCCAGCATTAATTACGCCCTCATCTCGGGGTAGTGTGACAATAGCCGGGAGACCGGTGTTATAAGTACCTGTCGGTGATGTATACTGATATGATGTATATATGGAATTAGGTTTGTTCCCACCGTACCCTGAACTGAAATAGGCCACGGAGCTCAAAGAAGGTAGCGTGGGTTGCACCGGTGGGGGTAACAAAGTTGACGGTAGACTTACGCCAGAGCCAATGTTTGAAGTCACACCACGACCTCGAACCGGTGGCAATATTGACTGATTTTGCATGATCGAGTTCATGGCGTTCGAAGATTCATTGACCAAGGCTGGCACAATCTTGTTAGAAGTATCATCAATCGATGAATTTTCTTCGGGAGAAGTTATTTCCACATGACCATTAGAAATGACATGTGGAGCTGGGGTTGATACTGCTGAAGAAGATATGCTTGGATGATCGTCCATTTCCAATCCTTGTACGGCGGTGAAATTTTCAGAGTCGTCCAATCTCACAGCAATCTCGAATATGCCATCTTGGTCATCCTCTGGCGTGACATCGTCTTTGTAAGATTGATGTTCATTGGGGCTTTGAGGTTTTTTAAAGTATCTACGAATTCGCTATGTCATAACAAAAGATAGAGTCGGAAGAACGTTCCCAACACAATTATAACTGTCATAAAAAAACAAAAGATCGTGCGTACTTTTGCCGGTTTATAATTTTCATTCAGTTTGTATACGGTGCCAATCCGGAACACGCGGCCCTTTTTGACGGCTTTTTGTAAAGCCTGAGAGGCGGACGCTCGAAAATTCTTGTGCAAAGGGTAAGTGCTTTTACCCAATTTGAAAAAAAAAAAAAAGTAAAGGTCAAAACCGATTATCCCTGGTATTCACAAAGATCAAACATCTTACTTATTCATCCATTCAAAGATATTCCGAGGAGCACTACCGGCCGGATCAGCGATTGATAAAAGAGCTTGAACAATCATTTCCTCATATGATGGTAGATCAACTCCGACAGCCGGTAGATGCGCACGTGAAGGATCTGTGCTATCAGAGTAAGTCTTTGAACTCTGTGTGTTTGACGTCAAGGGAACGGTGGACGAATGGGATAAATGATCTTTTGACGCAGGTCGATTATCTACTTCATTTTTGTTAGACGCGGCAGTGTAAGCATTACTAGATATTTGTTCTTTGACGTCCGCGGGATATAAAGGGAGATCAGGGTGTAGTTTTTCGGCAATAAGTATAAGATCAATTAGGACCCTTTGCGGTAAGGAAGATAGATATGCTATTTTCTTTTTTTTTTTTAAAAAAAAAAAAAAAAGTATCATAAAAAACCGCTTATTATCGCTGGATTTGATTAATCGTCTCAGATCTAATATTTAACCACTCGATGGATTCTTTCGAGGTACCTGTTCTTCAGTCAATCCGTTTCCGGAAATATCTCGTAAATTATTATTCGATGTGGAAACACGAGGTTCAACCTTTCTTCGTTTACGACCTTTTGCCTCCTCGCACTTTGAACACATCCATTCCGCAGTAGTTATTTCAGCGACGCGATCCTCAATAGATGGAACATGACACTGCTGATGATAAGGCACATCACATTTATCACATAGAACTATACGATTATGCTTTGGAGATTGTCCGTCGTGGCAGACGATACAGACAATATCGTCTAATTTTGATCGTGGTGTGTCTTGAGTGTCACTAGATGCATCCTCGGAAAAATTTTTAGACACATTACTTGAAATTGGTGACGTAGTAGACGAGGTAACAGATAGCGAGTTGGGAGGAGTTAATGTCGGTGATGTTTCACGCAAGTTACGCTGACGTTTGACTATTTGTAACAAGAAATCATGAATACGAAATATATGTCCATATAATGCGCGTATGTATATTCATAATTTGAATCTCCTCGAGAATCTACCTGTTGATTTATTAGGTCTTTTTGTTTCTTGGGGTTGCCTCTTGGTGTCTCTTGAATCATGAGTAAATAGCACAGGTTTATGTACCTTCCGACCATACTTGGTCTTGGGCGATTTGTCTGATTCTATTGCTAACCCGTCAAAGAGGTTATTTAGAAAAATTACACTTTGAATTTGTTACAATGGTGTCGCTGTAAATACCCTTACTTGAGGATAAAGGTTGTGTGCCGACATCTGTGGTCTCTGATATTGTTTTTTGTAATTTAACATCGGCTTCCTTAGTTGGAGTTTTGTTTGTTTGTGGAAATCTTGACAAGGAATTGCGACCAGAGATTCTCTCATTTAGCTTTGCGTGTTCGGTCACACATTTTTTCTGAGAAATAGTACGTGTGGTACCATTTTCTGACTTGACTTCAGAAACCTCTGCGTGAACTTCCTCTTCCAGCTCAAACTCCCCATCCTCATCACCCTTCATTAAGTACAATTGAGTTCATAAAATATTATTAGACAGCTCACTTCGTTATGGAAGATCAGGTCAAAAAAACACAAATCATGTAAGTGGGGTAGAAATTTCAACAACGAAAAGGATTTTTCGCAAACAATGCATTCTTAAAATCATATCTGCAAAGTAATGAGCCTACCCATTCCTCTTGTTGCTTTTGAGAATTCTGTTCATTATCATGAAAAACCTCCCGCCTATGTGAAGTTGAGTCGGTCTTCGATACGGAGTTGGTTGTGCTCTCGGAGGAAAGCATAAATTGGTTGTGTTGGGTCGTCATTGCACTTGCTGGAATTAGCAACAATGTTTCCTTTGAGGTTTTTCAATTGCAGATAGACACACGTTTTTCTTCTGAAATTAGATGAGTTTTAGACGTTTTTTCTGTAAGAAATGTTAAAAGTGGTTTCAAAGTAGGATAATTACAATGTTCAGAGAAAAGGAACTCGAGAATCAAAAAGAGATGAAAGGAAAAAAAAAAAAATCTTGGTTATTTGTGGCTAAGAAAATCGGGGGCTTGGTGACTGTGACGATTAAGTGAATAACCGGTATTTAGGTGATGTTTTTTTAACTTCAGGTTCGAACGATGAGCAGACAAAACCTAAAATTCGACATCATTTAACTCGAAGGTTCTTGAAGTCGATATTGCGTTACATGTTGAACGATGAACTGGTCACGAACTTTACGATCTCATCTCTCATCGTCGACGCGCCAAGTAAAGAGGTGGCCTCGATTTATTCATTTTTTGTAATAAAAAACATATTTCGTTACACGAAGCGGCGATTCCATTGTAAAAAATATAAATTTTGATCTGTTTCACAATAGGATTGTCATTTTATATTAATTACTACTGGATTTTAATTCAGATTGCGTAAATATTAACTCATTAATTAACTCATAGCGGTGATATTTTATCATTGCGCATATCAAATTAAAAAAATTAGACGAGGTAAAGGTATGGTAATTCGCGTCATCGAGAGTAAATCCGAGCCTATAAATACCTATTTTCCGTTTGGATTTTCTCAATGTCGCCTTCTCCTCCCACCAGTTTATCTTCTGATATCACTCGCACTGCACCTATGGCCACTAACGCGAAAGTTTCAGTTCCAACTGTGATGCAAGGAAACCCTAATATGCCATCCTTGACCGAATTGGGACAAGACACTTATTATCGTTATCGTACTCATTGGATCGCCTTCTGGGTTTTATGGCTTATTTGGGCGCTTCTTACGTGCGTACGTGTGGGTAATAACGGATAGCAATTTCAAATGGCTCACGTGACATTCTTTTTTTTTTTAAAAAAAAATTATAGGTTGTGGAATTGGTTTCGACATGAACTTACGAGATCGGAAAATGACGACGGAACCAGGACTGCGGCCGGTGAGATTAGTTCCACCACCGAACGAGCTGAACGGAATACGAACAATCTTATGAGTCGTTTTGTAAGTAAGAGAAGTAGGAAATTGTCAACTATACAGGAAAACGTCACACTCACACAATTATTTAAACACACAAAGGATCATGGTTCTCGGCGTGCTCAAAGGATCTCGCGTGACCTCTTGTTAGGCTTACTTTCGGCATTGACTGTGAACACTCTTGGTCAAGGTTCAGGCACCGCCGTGGAAGTGCTCGCTTGGATATATCTTGGACTCGCAATTATTTGGTTGTCCGCTGAAATGCGAACCAGCAACAAAATTATGAGATCGGCCATGGGATTTCTTTTATTCGCCATCTTGCTAACAATTTTCATCTTGGCTTATGCGAGGGGTTGGTGATTGTCGATTAATTCATTAGCGTTTAACATCACATTTATACATTAGCAAGTTTGTGTCTCGTTCTGGTTTTTGGAGCTATCAATGTTGTGCTTTGGTTTTCAGTAATTCGTGTTTAAACTATTCTAATATAAAATATCCGTTTTAATTATTCTAATATAAAAAATATCCGTGTTAACTATTTTAATATAAAATATTCGTGTTATCTATTCTATCTATATAAAATATTCGTGTTATCTATTCTAATATAAAATATTCGTGTTATCTATTCTAATATAAAATATTCGTGTTATCTATTCTGGACGTTCCTGTTTACCACGTGTTCTTTAAATTCTTGATCTTATGTGACATAAAAATTAAAATTCACAAAACCTGATTCTAGTGATCGGTTGATTATTATTAAATATAGTAAAAATTTCAGGTTGTAGATAGAATTTGACAGGGGTTTTTTCTATTATGAAATTTTGTATGCAAGATTAAATGCAAATGTCACGATAATGAACGAGAAACAAGTAAACTAAATATTATGATTTAATCAACAATTATGTTTAAATGACTCACTATAAGAAACCATGAATGGGTTTCTTTGGGTTATAGGAATTCGCGGATCATTACTAAATCTATTTAAAGTGACACATTTCTGGAATCTTCGAAAATATCAACGGTTTAATTGGGCGTAAAGCAGAAAACACATGTATATACATAATTATGGAAGTTAAACCCACCAAAAGAGTAAACGAACCCAAACATCTTAGGAGAAAAGTGGTTTTCGTTGATCCCGATGACCCCGAAGCTCCTCACTGGTGGCCGGCTTTGGTATGCCACAAACGTTTTAACTTCGTACTATATGATATTTGATGAAACACCTTAATTTTGAAATTAATGGCTCGTCTGATCATCTCTGAAACAAGGTTGTCCCACTGAGAGAGATCGAAATCTTTAAACAAAAAATGGACAGCGACGTTCAATATCCCAGAGAGGGGGAAAATCTGGTCTGTTATTTTGAAGACGGGTCCTACTCGATTGTTTCGGAAAAAGACCAATTGCCTTTTGATCCAAATAGCGAACCATATACCACTTACATGGAAGGTCCAAATGTTTCTATATTTCAAAGAGACAAAGCCGTCACTCTGGCAACTTTATATTTCGAAAAAGGGGCGGTACCACCTTCCTTTAAATGGCTTCGAAATGAAGATTCGGGAAATGCCTCGGATAGCAATGGAGATAACTTGGCAGGGACGAACGAGAGCAATAACGCCGGTTCTGTGGGATCGGATGTTGCTTACAACACTGGAGACGAAGATGGAATTGGTGCAACGCCAGAAAAGAACAATGTCGCCACTACAAAACGACATCCGAAAAAAGACAGCTCTAATAATGGTGAAAATTATTATTTCAAGTTGGACGAGTTAATAATAGTTGGCTAATTTAAATTCAATGTGTTTAGAACTATCGAATTCAAATAAGAAAGATGTGATTTCTAAAAGAGATAATAATGTTGGACAGAGAAAGGACAATTCCTCGAGCCAAGGAAAAAAAGTAAATAGATCAATGGAACTTTTGCTTCTTTTTTTATTGCAACATTTTACTTATTATCAAATACCTGATATAGAATCCAGTGCCAGTAACTTCGACTCCTGGTTCGCGCAACGCTAAAGTCAAACCTCGAAGTTTTTCGGGTTCTAATAAATCGGCTCTTAACAATCCCACCAACAATAATTCAACATCATCAAAACCTATACTAAATACCAATTCCACCTTTTTGCAACCGACCAATAAGTCTGTCAACAATCTCTCGAGTTCGACTCATAATAATAACGCAAATAATAATACATCCAACCAACAATCACACCAATTGTCTGCGGCAGAAAGGGTAATAACATCCAGAACAAAACAATGTTTTCAATGCGGGGAAAAGACGACAACGCGCACCGCCAATAATAATGATAATAAAGAACCGTGCAGTAAATTATTGTGCGGTGACTGTGGAGAATTATTGAACTTATTGCTTAATCCTTCTTTTCATGATTCGTCAAGTAATAGTAATAATAGTATTAGCGGCGATGGTAACAGTCATCAAATTAACAGTAACAACAGAATGGTTCTGACTATATTTGAAAATAAACATTATTGGAATCACTATATAGAGAAAAAGAGAAAATCACCGAGTAGACTGTGGGGGAGAGGACAAGATATTGATGATGATGATGGTGATAGTAGATTTGAAGTAAATATATTAAATGGTGTGTTACCGGTTAACAAACGTTCTAGATGGATTGGTCGATCCGATGGTAGGTGATGCTATCTAACTGTTGTTTTAATATTGTATTTAACTAATTTAATTTTTTTTTTTTTATCAGATATATTAACACACTGCAGTTGAAAACATACGAGATTCATTGCATTTTAACAAGAATTAATCAGTGAGGATCTGGTGTAGTTTTTCAACGGGCGACTGCTTAAATATTATGTTGCCCCGCATGTTCTTTGTCATCCAAACGATGAGTATATTCTTATTGCTTACTTATAAGCTCATCTGTAAGACCTTCCCTTAATACTGCCTTTTATTCTATAATCATGATTTTAAAAAAAAATTCTTCGAATAATCTCCAGGTTTTATGTGGGACATAAAAGTCAATTGAAATAATCTACTCGCAATCGATTACATGTTAGGTTAGTTTACATTAATTTAATAACTTATTAAATAATTTTAACAATCATTGTTTCCGCCTTATGGTGTTTTGATGGTGTTAATAAAAAATTCAATAAGAGAATTGATTACAAGTCGAAACCAATTTAACGGTATCTTAAGTGAAATAATTGTTTTTTTAAATACATAAATTACCAGCCCAATTTTCTTAAGAAAATATTATATATTATCTATATATCATATGTACAGTGCTAATGCTTTTATTTTTTTTATACAAAATAACAATAATAATAATAACTTTACCATAAAAAAATTAAAAACTATTTTTGTTAAAAATATTATTTTCCTTATTAATTTTTCTCATCTCTATTACAAAAAATGATGTTTAATGATTATTTTTCATATAAATATATAGGTATATATACAATATATATTTTAAATATATATTATTATTATTATTATTATGATTTCAGCCATTTACTTTCTTTTATTTTCCGGTTAATTTTTTTTCAAATTTTTAAATCAAATACTAATTACACATAAAAAATTATATACACGAAAAACATCTTTGATATATAGCATCATAATTATTACATTATCTTTTTTCGATTAGCAAGGTTTGATTGATCTATTATTATTTAAATTTTATTGTCTATAATATATTTTAATTATATATTAAATTATATATTAAGTTATATCAAACTTCATATATATACTGTATATTTTATAATATTTACAAGAAATATTTCTTAATACAAATATTTAAAATAACTAATATATATATATATATATTTTGAAAAAAACAAATGGCTATCACACTGACCTATCCGGTTATAGTCCAGTGGGCTAAGGCAGGGTAGGGCTAACCTATGAACTACAGTTCAATCCTAGCTGGGGGCAATTCACATATCCCTAATGGGACTTTGTGTCACTGCTCCTATAACTCATGATAGAGAGCAATTTGAGTTGTTCCGGCAATCAAGGAGCCTTATGGATAGACTACATCCATAGGTCAAAAGATAGATGATCTGATTGGTAAAACTTTCTAATCAAGTATTGCCCGGGAAATATCTCCAAAAGGGGGAAGAAGTTTCATGGAATCTTTTCAGTAGTGGAAGGAAAGGTACAGACGGTTAAAACCATTAGTCGTACAACTATCAGTAAGAGTTTCACATGTCCGTTGGTAGCGAGGATCCAGTCGGGATTGTAGGAGGTCGCTTGTATCATGAGATGTTCTATCCTAAGGAGTATACTTGTGACGGTTAACTACATGTCCCCATAAATTGTAACCCTCCGCATGTGTTGCTAGGTCAAATTAGGAAGGGTGAGGTTGAGTCCAATTCCCAAGCGAATTTGGTGTACTGGTGTACTCTCATCCCGCCAATGATATCTCACTAACTAAATCCTAGTAAGTCTTGGCTAAACTAAATGGTTGAAATACTGTAGTGATGGCTGTAGACAATGATTATCCTGGCTTGATAGTAAAAGATCTTGCCTTAAATATAGCAACTTTCCATCCCCTCCATCTATACTTAGAGGCTTAGGCCTAAAACGAGTATTTAGAACCCAACATCACCACCTGTACCCTGGAGAAACACTGGGAGACTGGCAAATAGGTGATAAAAAGAGGTACCTGAGTTGACGACAAGGGTTAAAAAAAAACAAATGGCTATCACACTTTATTTTATTTATTATATTTTTAAAAGATCCAAAGAAAATAAATTTTAAATTTTGTATAAAACAAATAAGTTTTCATGATATAATAAAAAAAATATGAATTTTTTTTTTTTTTTTTTTTTTAGAGGCAAAGTGTATTACATGTATCAGTTTTTTATTAACTTAGGAAACAAAGTTACAACTGTTATATGAAGAATCTGATTAACTATTTCTAGCTATTCTAATATTAGTGCTACCTCTAACTAATCTGATTGTATTAACTTATATCAAGTAGATAGGTTTATATGTCAAGTATGGACTATTCAAAGGGTATGTACCTATTAACTGTTACTAGGGTTCTTATTACTTTATCACTTCCAACTTATACTTTTGCAGTATTTATGGACTTATTTTTTTACATTTCCTAGTAAATGCTTCAAGAGTTTTCTTAAGGTTGGCACAGATTACCAAATCTGAGGGTTTTCACCAAATGAAACATGACTCCTAAATCTCTCAGTAGACACTCCCTAAGGCTCTTAGTTGGCATAAGCTGCCAAATCTAGGGGCATGAATGCCAAGCAGAGCGCAACTTCTGTAAAGTGGCCTTGAATATCCCTTCACGCTAGCGATGTCCATACAATAATCATTTTCAAAGTTGCCTAATCGAGTTAGCAGGTTTTTTTTTTATAGTCTCATGGACTATAGGAAAAAAGAAACAACCAGTGTGAGAACCAAGAAATGCATCAAACATAGTGTGATTATCATAACACCAACCAGAAATTGATGTACCACAACACCTTAACTGGAGATCACAATCTCAACATCTGCTGGATTAGCATGTGAACCGGCTTTACATGAGAAACAGCATATATTAGGTTATGATGCCAGATACCATGTGATACTGTTCAACTTCTTCACCTGGAGTTGAACCAATATCTTGTGATCTGATCTGTGGAGTACTAACCATTGTGCTATAGACCCACAGGTCAAAAAAAAATATGAATTTTTTTATGTTTTAAAAGTATTTTTTATATTAAATTTTTATATTAAAAAAATCAATAAATTTTATATTCAAAAAATATTTTGAAAAAATTTTATTAAGATATTT